TCTAGCTCCCCAATAACAGCCTCAAGCAGCTCCTCTGCCCAAAAATCGTTAGCAACTCGGACCTGAGCCGCAATTGTATATGCTATTGAACACGGATTTTTCGAAAAAAGGCCGTTCGAGCAATACTTTCAATTTTTCAGTGAACTGAAAATTTGCATATTTTCAAAAAATTCGTTCGCAGCTAGGACCTTAACCGCAATCGTATATGTAAATGAACGTTGATTTTTTTTTAAAACGACCTCTCTAACAATAACTTCACTTTTTAGTGAACTGGAAATTTGCATTTTTTCAAAAAATTTGCATTTGTCATTTTTTTCACAAAGCGAGCATTTACCGAAAAGCGACCGGACTTCATGCAAAAAGCCGGCAATCATGCTCCTGGGTGTTCACCACCTTCATCCCAACTGTAATGTACCGCCTTCATCCCAACTGATGCTCTTCCTCCCGCAAGCTCTTTCGCACCCCCGTAACCCCTCTAGGAGCTCCACTTCCCATCTTCTCACCCCTACGGCTGATCCCCCACCTCTCTACCGCCAAGAAACCCGTACTTGGACCTACTTATGCCGTCCACGAACATAATTCAACCACACCGCTGCCTCCGAGCGACACAAAACAATTCACGTAAAAAGGCATACGTGATTGGCTGCACAAGCATGCAATTACTAAAACTCGGTCGAATTTGAAGGCAGTCTGTGGCCACCGTGGTGTCCTTCCTCAAGTGACGTAGGACGAAAGTGAAGGGGTTGGTAGTGACGGTTTGGGTGTCAGAGGTCGTCCTGGGGAGCGGTGGGAGGAGGAAGGGAGGGGAGAGGGGCTTGGGATATTGGGGAAAAGCTGGTATCCTGTCTGAAGTGGGAAGACGAGGGCAACGACTGTGAGAGGAGAGAATTGTCTGATTTTTATGGCGATTGTCTGATTTTTATGTAGAATAAATCAGTGAGATCAACGCGAGCATAAATCATGCACTACCTTCATCCCCACCGGCGACATGCAGCGGTAATTGGAAATGAGGCGTATATCAGTTCACCTCATCTCTAGAACCGGGAAAGCTAGGAAGCTGAAGTTGTCCTGATTGTGCGGGGTAGCGATGGGCCGATAATTCATCGATTCGCACAAATGATTAAACCCCGTCTTCTCCTAAATGGTGGCATAATGTGGAGTCCCCTTCTTTCTTACCCCATTCTCCCTCTATGAGAGACGGTACTTCGAAGTTTGATGTAAAAACGCATGATCGCACCGGCTTGCCTGGTGCGTTCCAGCCTGAGTTTCCTTTATAATGTGAAAAAACATTATTTTTTATGCTTTTTTGCATCTTTGATGAGGGCAGAAGACATGTTGTCTAGAGGTTTACTGTGTGTATACGTCGCCTGTCTGTCTGTCTGTCATTTTGTGTATGGTTCGATTCAATATGCAAAAAGTACCAAAACTTAATTTCAGGGCTAGCCACATTCAAAGCTATAAAACAAGAGCACAATGAAAAACAGGAATCTAAAAGTTCTGTAGAACGATCGGGAGTCTTCCGTTACTAATACTTTTAAATTGTCTAATACTCAAATGTCATTTAAAAAATCAAAACACTGGAATGAGTAGAAGGTCCTTATATATTGAAACTAGATGAAAAGCTCCGATAGGAGCCTGAAAAGGGACTCTCCACCACTACAAAACAGTTGGCGAACGCACGAGCTGCCCGTGCGAAAACTCGTTTTTTGCATAGCTCTTCGCAGTTCTTGTCGCTCCGGCATCGGTCTTTTCGGCAAATGCTTCTAGCTGAAAGAATTTCAGGCTGGCCGCCAGAACTGTCTGGAAACATCCCCCCAAAATTCCAGTCTTCTAGA